AGGAGGAATCAGCGGAAGCAGAGGGGGGAGTTCCCGCGCGCAGGTACCTCCAGGCAAGAGTTCTGACAGTGCAATCCCGAAGGGAGTTTCCCCTGCACCCCCCGCACGTGTACCCCCCTGGCGCAGCGGCCCCCCTCTCGAGGTAGACGGCGGAGGAGCGGGGGAGGGCGGAGAGCGCGGAGGCGGGGTGGGCGCGCATAATGGCCGCCACGCCTGCTGACGGCCGCAAGCCGCCCAGGCAGGCCGTTTCGAGTGCCCTCACGCTGCAGGACTCGGCGGAGGTCTGGCGGAAGAGGGAAGCATACGAGAGGAAAGAAAGGCGGAGGAGGGAAGCTAATCAGCTTCACGGATGGTGGAAGAGGGAGGGGGAAGAGAGAAAGGCGGGGAAGACACCAAAACCCTAAGGGATTCTTTGTATGCCGGATGGGTGCTTGGTGCTGGTCTCAGGCCGCGGGTCTGAGAGAAAACATCGTCTGGAAGGGGTTTGGTGGAGTGTAGTCCGGTGGCAACTCACCAGGTCCAAGCTCCCGCTGCTGGCGACTGTCATTGCAAGCTCGTCTCGCACCCACAGCCTGATGGTGCCCGCGGGTTCATTCGAAATGCCGTTCCTGCATGGTCGCACTGACACCTGCAAGAGGGGAGATGGTTGGTTGGTTGGATGGTGCACGGGGAAAAAAGAGGGGAGATGCATGACGGAGGAACACACACGAGAGAGCAGCAAAGGAGTAGGGAGGAGGGAGGGGGAAGAGCGAATGACGAAGCGAGAATGAGAGAAGTCGTGAAACAAGCGAGTGGGGGAAGGGTGAAAGCTAAAACAAAGGCGAAAACGAAAGAAAACACACAGAAAAGAAGAGGGGAAAGCGATTGCGCAGAGAGCCAACGTACCTTGATCTCCACCATGCCGTCTCTGCCGGTATCTCCCGTCTCATCGTCACTCAGCCTCACACGCGATTTTTGAGAATTCTAAAAAGTCCCTGGGAAGGGGGGAAAGCGAGGGCGCAGAGAGCAGCTTACCTTAATCTCCACCATGCCATCCCTGCCAGTATCTCCCGTCTCCGCGTCACTCAGCCTCAGCTCAGGCCACGAATCCACCGCTCCCTCTTTCTCCTCCCTCTGCTGCTGCTGCTGCTGCTGTAGCTCCGTTTGGTTCCCCGTATCCTCGCCGCCTCTCCTCGCCAACAACCTCCGAATCTCTTCTTTTCCGGGCAGCCCGCCGAAAAGATCGTCCCCGCCCTTCCAGACCACCGCCATTGCTCGCGCCTGCCCCGCTTGGTCCTGCTCCTCCACGTTTCTCGCCGCGAGAACCGCCGCAACTGACGGAGCGGCGCAGAGGACGCCGAGGCGAGACGGAAAGTCGCCCTGCGAGAAAGGTTGAAGGGGAAGAGGGAGGGGGGGGGGGGGGGAGGGGATGCGGGGGAGGGGGTGGTGATGAGGAGGAGGAGGAATGGGGGGAAAGCGAGGAACGGGAGGAAGGGGGTGTGGAGGAAAACCGGACGGGATGATATGGCAGGGCCAGATACCTTTTTAGGCGGCAGGACTAGATATTGACGAAATGAATGCCTTAGCGCTTCCTCCACCCCCTCCGCCCCTCTCATCCCCGTTACACTCAATTCCGCTACACTCACCTCCGTTACAGCGACAAACGCGCTCTTCACAAGGGTATCCTCTTGCTGCTTTGCTGTCTCCGCCTGTACATCTTTCCCCGCCGATGACCCCCCCACCGCCGATGCTTCCCCCTCCGCCGATGCTTCCCCCACAGTCTCAGTCGCCGCCATCGTAGCCTCTCCCGTAGAGGTCTCTCCGCCCGTCGATGCCTCCTCCTTTGGTGTCTTCTCCACCGTTGATGCAGCCTCGACGTCACCGCCTCTCAATTCCTGACTTTCCTCAACAACCGCACTCTCATTCCGAATCGCGTCAGTCGCCACCAGGCTCGCACCGCCCAACCTGTTCTTAGAATCACCCTCATTTTGAGGCGACTCGAAAATAGCCTCGAAAACGGACGCCTCAAAAGCCGACCCGTTATCAGAACCACTCTGGTTGGACGAAACTTCCTTAGAAGCGCTTTCGCCAACCACCGCTGCCTCCCGAATCCCGCGTTCGTTTGTATCACTCGGACGTCCTCCCTTTTCCTTTCGTTTCTCAGGCTTCCCCTTTCCTGCGCGTCTGCCGGTACTTTTTTCTTTTTCCTTCCTTGCAGTCACATCCGCTACGCTCTCCTCCGATATTTTTGGGGAACTCTCTTTGATCTCCGCTTTCCGCGCGGAAACCCTCTCCAGCTCCGCTTTTGCGGACTCCGCTTCCGCCACTTCCGCTCCCTGCGCAGACTCCCCAAGCTCCGCTCGGTCCGCCGCGGGATCCGCGAATCCGCCAAACACGGACCCCTCTTCACCTGAAAACTTGCTGGAAGCGCCCTCTGCTGGCGCGGCGAGATTTGCGGCGGCCGCGGCGGCGGCGGAGGTGGTGGCAGGGGACGACATTCTCGACACAGACAGTGGAACTATGAGGCTTTGGCGAAACGGTTGTTGCGAAAAGCCGCCAAGGACGAAATTCGAGGCGACGGCGAATAAAGCCAGGAGTAACGCGAACGGGAGTATGTGAAACGCGGCGCGCAATAAATCCCCCCCGCCGTTCCCGCAGTGCTTGCCCCACCGCAGCAGCCCCCACGGATCCGCGGAGGCGGCGCGGGGGGTAACCGCGCGGGTGGTGACCGGAAGGAGCTTCTCGCCCATTGGCGAAACTCGCTGATCTTCGCCTGTTTCAGATGTTTTCGCCATTAGTAGATCCAGTCAATGCGGATGTTTCCGGCGAGAGTGACGCTCAGCCAAACGGATCGAAAGAATCGGCAGGCGCGCCGCTGGCGGCTCGTAATGCACCTACCCACTACTGCTGAATTATCGCTGTACTGTTCAGCGGAAACAACGAGCACGGTAGCACGCCAATATCGAGAGATTACTTGAGGCGCCTCAACAACTGACAATTTATACTAACGATCGATAAACGATGGGAAAAGAGAAAACATCGTAAGGCATGCTACCCTCACTGTTGTGCAGCTGTTTTAGCTAAGGCGATGCGGTTTTTAAGGCGTGAAGTGAACTAATGGTCGCTGTTGGGGCGACTTCACGAAGCACCGAGAACCGGTTGCAGAGATTGCACAGCCAGCTTAGAGGAATGGAACGTATCGTCGCCTAAAAAACATAAGGATCGCATCGAAAGGTTCGATTGCTGGAAATGAAAAGTGCTGACTCTGAGTAATGAAGACTGGCGAAGGGAGGTTATACTCAATGAGAGCAGGACGCTAGGAGCCGACAAAGTAAGGTCGGAACGGACAGGTATGGACAGGAAGATTACGATGGTCCCCGGCTGCTACGCCACCAGTCGATACCTTAAATGTCGGCAACGTTAGGGGGAATAAATGGAGGTTCCACCTGAATCAAGGGCGGTAGGAAGTAAAGACGACAGAAGATGTGTACCTCCTACGAGGCAGGCACGATCTGAGGAAAGTCAATTGGACGGCGGAGATCTACCGCTTGTCTCACAGGCGGAGCCAGTCGATTGATGCTAAAAGAAAAGAGATTGGACGGACGGAATATTGTATAATATTTTTCATTAAGGGGATGATGATACTGGAGTCCGTGTTTTTCCGACCTGGCGGGTATGAACCTTTGAGAGGGGACGGCTGATGGGGGAGTCTCGGCGGTGAGCTATCCGGCGAGGGAAACACATCACCGCGGTTTTCACGGAGCGACGCTCGGGCGAAACTTGATGTCAGAAGTAGGCGTTTCGAACCAGAGGATTGCTGCGTTGACGATTCCACTCCACTCCGTGTGAGAGTGCAGTGCAAAGCAAATGAGAAAAGGGGAAGAGAGGGTGCTTGGGCAGAAACGGCAGTAGCAAGCAGGGAGATACCATGCACAACAATGTCGGAGAGTGGACATGAATCGGATGAAAGGTACGTCGACGACAATTCACGAGAGGATTGATCAGTAATTTCCCAACACGCGGCGCGACGAGCAGAAAATGCGGCTCCTCCTTCCCTTCGCAGCAGCGGTTTTGGCACCACAGGAGCATATGTCAGAGTCGGGCGGAAAGAGTGAAGGAAGTGCGACACGCAGAGTTGCACCACAGAGGTCGATCTGTAGAACCCGAGGACGAATCGGAATGGGCCAATTTGGCGGCTCTCACATCCGTGCCGTTTATCGGCGGCTGGTGGCTGACGCACGCGATTCGGCCTCGGAACCCGCCGTCAGAGAACTACAATGCCTGACGGGTTCGGTTCGGGGAAGGTGTGGTTGGGGACGGGTAAGGGTTCCGAAAATTGAGTGTGGGGTAGGGTGCCTCCACTCAAACCTAATGTTTTAATGAAAGTGCAGGAAATAGCAGAACAGCTCACACCACTGCCAGCGACCAGAGCTGATTCTGAATTCGTCAGACCTTTCCGCAGGTGTGGTCTGCTCTGTTCATACGTGAGTTTCAATTCAAGAACCCCGCGAACGCCTCCAACCCAATTCGTCATCGGCACTTGTTGGCTGGCACTGAATCGTGTCTGAGACTTTCACGGCTCGCTCTTCAACCAATGCTCCGATACGGAAATGATATGAAGCTATGAAGCTCATGTATTTTAAGACATTCTTGTATTCAAACTCGAGAAACGGCAAAATTTAGTGCATACGAATGCATCCAAATCATCTTTATGTATATGATATCATTTATCGTTTCTGGCCTATTTCATCTACTGTGTAACTGCAGGCGTCGTTCCAAACTTCTTAGCAAGCCCTTCTGGTACATCATACGAAATGTTATTCAATGGGATGTTGAAATCTGAGGCGTACAGGTGTGAAGCATCAGTAAAGGCTCTCTGCAATCAACAAGCAAACCAGCAAAAAACGTGCGGTCAGATAAAGAAGGTAAGCAGCCAAGGGGGAAAATAACCATGAAAGCCAATGTTGGATATTGATTCATAAGAGGACATATCAGCAAAAGTATTGTTGCACTCGACATACCTCGTCGTATAAGGATGTCAGTTTGTCCTCTGCATTTGTCCTATGCGCATTCAGCCCAATGGAAAATGCACCCGAGGCGTCCGTCTTATTCAGCCGATGCAGAACCTCTGCCACATCAGCATCGAGGTTCTCAAACCGACCAATAAAGTCAAATTTGATGGCGTCAAACCGGCAAACATCCATCTGTCATTGGGGCAAGCCAGGTGGAAATGCAGCAGAAGCGTGAATTGGAGGACCAGAATAGAGGCCATGGACTTGTCATGGAGAGGGGGTAGAAAGCTGCTAAACTAGTGGGAAACGAAAAGCTGTACACACATTCTCTCAACCGGAATTCAGCCCCCGCTCCATCCAAGCTCACTCATCATCCGATTGTCAAAAACAGAAAATTTTCCGCCCTCCCCTCCCCCTCCAATTTTCATCTCCACCTCCCTCCCCCCCATGCTCCACCCAAACAACCAAGTTCTGATCCCCATCTCCCCTTTCGCACCTGAGGTTGCACGTGAGATTCCATATAGCTCCGTTCACTCTCCTCCACACTCCTCAGCAGATACGCAAAGTCACTGAACCCAAACAGGCCCTTCCCCCCCTGCGCCTCCACAAGCCGCCTGTACGGGGTAATACCCCGGAAAAACATCTTGTTCCAAAAATGACGCCCGAACGGCGGCCCTTTGTTCACATGCTTGTTGAAATACACCGAGGCTAGCCGCGCGTACGGATTCCGAATAAACGAGAACTTGAAGAAATCCAGGCGGGTCAGCAGCCGGATCACCTCATACTCGTTATAGTGGTATGCGAGAATGTGTAAGCCACTCTTGTAGGGGTCGTGCGTGAGGTACACATCGGAAATGTTTTTCTGCTCCTGCCCCTGCTGCTGCTGCCGGAACCAGGTTTTCCAGCTCGTGCAGGCGACCTTAGGCACAAAGCAGTAGATGGTCTTGAGCTTCTCTGCAGGTGGAAAGAGGAGGGGGATACATGGGAGAAGGGATAAGTGAACCAGGAGACAGGCAGGCGGACGGGCAGGAGAGCAATGTACCATCCACAATGAATTGCCGCAGAAACCTCTCTGCTGTGCCCTTGAACGACATGGCTGGAGGCGCAAGCTTAGCAGGCAGGCAGGCAGGCAGGCAGGTGGGCAGGCGGGCAGGCAGGCAGGCAGGCAGGTCGCGAACAAGCAGGCAGGCATGCCAACAATCAAGGGGCCAGGCACACAACGCACCGTCCACAATGAATTGCCTCAGAAACCTCTCCGCTGTGCCCTTGAACGACACGGCAGGAGGCGCCTCACACACGCTTGGCTCCACCACAAACGAACCTCCACCTCTGCTGCTGCTGCTGCTACCACTGCTGCTGCTGCTGCTACCACTGCTGCTGCTACTGCTACCACTGCTGCTGCTACTGCTGCTGTCACGACCCCTGGCATCTGCTCCTTCTGCTCCCCCTGTCCCCTCTGCTTCCTCTGTCCCTTCTCCTCCCCTCATAGCCCCTCCAAGGATGTGCCGAGCCGCGCCGGCAGTAGCCTGGGCGTGGAGGAAGCGGGCCTCGAGAGACGCGCGGGTGTGGATGAGCGCCGCTGCTGCCGACACCACCCACGCCTCCGCCACCTGCAGCTGCGCGCAGCTCCACTCGCTACTGTCACCCTCCCACACACTCACATCCACACCAGCAGCATCATCACCACCCGCAGCAGCACCAGCAGAACCACCAGCACTAGCAGTACCATCAACAGCACCCCCAGCATCAGTTACAGCAGCAGCAGAATCCGAAGCACCAGACTGCTCCAGAAGCAGCCTTCTAGCTCCTGGCTCTACCCCTGCCGCGCTGCTCTCTGCCGCGCTGCTCTCTGCTGCACCGTTCCCTGAGACGGATACTCCACCTCTCCCTTCTTGGCTACTAGACTCGGAAGCGGAGGAGGAAGGGGGGGTGGAGGGAGATGAGGAGGAGGAAGAAGAAGAAGAGGAGGAGAGCGAGGAGGAGGAGGAGGAGCGAGAGCAGCGCTTGAGGCGGGCTTGTGTGATGGGGAGGAGGAGAGGCGCGCGGGAGGGGTGGAAGGCAGCAGCCACTGCAGCAGCGTTTTCGGGCTCAAACGCAGCAACTATGAATGACGTCTCGGGGGAGAGAGAGGAAGAGGAGGAGGATGAAGGAGGGGAGGAGGGGGAGGAAGGCGAGGAGGAAGGAGAGGATGAGGGGGAGGAAGGAGGGGTGGAGCCCGCACGGAGGTATCTCCATGCGATTGTACGAATGGTGCAGTTCAGAAGGGGATCGTTCGCACAGCCCCCACAAGTCCCTGCCGCTGCTGCTGCTGCTCCTGCTGTGGCTCCTTCTGTCGCTCTTGCATCTTCCCCTGATGCTGCTGCTGCATCCCCTACGCCTGGCGCAGCGGCAGCCCCCTTGTCAAGGTAAACGGCGGTGGAGCGGGGGAGGGCGGAGAGCGCGGAGGCGGGGTGGGCGCGCATGATGGCCGCCACGCCTGCTGACGGCCGCATCCCGCCCAGGCAGGCCGCCTCCAGCCTCCGCGCAGTGCAGACCTCTTGAGGTGCCTGGTGGAAGAATGAGAAGAGTGGGGATTGGCAAAGGAGGGAATAAAGGAGTTGGAAATTTTGATAGCTCAGGTTGCTGAAAATGCTGAAAACGTTGACAGTCGCTGAACATGTTGTGAGCGTACCAGAATCACGCGGCCGTTGGTCTCGCCACTGCCACTTGCCGAAATCACCTCTGCAGCAGCTGCTGCAGACAGCATCAGGCGAACAGACTCGCCACTGCCTCCACTGCTGCTGATAGCGTCGGTTTCGCTCGGTTCGTTCTCCTTGCACTCTGAGACAGCCACCTGCCGATACCGAGGAAGTATTGTAGTTGTAAGGATTGTTGAGAGACGGGACAGAGGTGTAACGACAAGAGACAGGAGGAAAAGGATATTGGGCGGAAGAATAAGGATACAGGAAAGGATGGCCAAGGAGTCTCAGAAGCCCCTCTAGTAAGCAGGTGACTTTTGAGTCGACTCAAAAGGAACCCCTCCAGTAAGCATCAGAGGAACCTGCAGCTTCGCCCGTTCGCATCCCCGTACCTCAATCTCGGCCGTCAATCTCGCTTTCAGCGATTCATCTAGCGTCTCCCCCACCGCCACGTCAGCGAGCATCTCGGATGACACTCCCGCCAGACGTCCAACCTTCGGCGGCCCCGCAAACAGAGAGTTAAAGCCACTGTCGGCATTGTTGCCCCAAACAACCGTTACTCTGGTTCCGCTGCTACTGCTGCCTGCCGCCATGGCTGCCGTGTCGCCGTAACTCTTTCCCTGCAGGCGACGCGCGAGAGTCGCCGCGACGGCCGGTGCGAGACAGAGGGCTCGAAGGCGGTCCATCACTCCTCCCTGCATTGGGAACAAGAAGGAACAGTTGGTGCTTTGGCGACCTCTAAACTGTGACACATAGCTTTCACTAACCATAGCTTTTACATAGTGCTCTTGTTTCGTCAGCGAGGGTGAATATTAGTTACTTGAACATCAGCCGCCGCAGCAAAACGTACCTCAGCCATGGTGTAAGTGTCACCCAGTCCTGCAGCACGTGCCGACCTCTCTGCACTCATTGCTTGCCCCGCCATCTCCGCCTTCTCCGCTTTCTCCGCGTTCCCCGCGTTCTCCGCGTTCTCCTCGTTCTCCACATTCCCCGCATTCTCTAAGCTCTCGGAAACTCCTGCCGTCTTCTCTCCTAGCGATGTATCCTCGACAGGCCTAACTGTACCTTCTTCCGACAAGACGTCGACGTCTCCTAGTGTTCCTGATTCCGGCCTTTCAGCGGCGCCTCCCTGATTCCGAACCTTCGACATTCCCTTATCTCGCACTGATGTCTGGTTTTCCGCTGTCACGGAATTTTTCTGAATTTGCGCTACTGGATCCTCTTGGGCCACGGCCCATGAGTCTTGATCCCCTGCAGCGGGTCGAGCGGCCCCTTGGTCCAGATAGCCGCCTTCGCTCTGCTCCGCGGAAACATCAGTTGTTTCTGAGTTACCACTTTCAGTCTGCGAAGCATCGGTGTCTTTATTTTCAGTAGCAGCACCGAGCCGAATCTCAAGACCCTCGATGTCAGGGATGCTCATTCGACGGACTCCGATAAAGGAGCTGGAACGGACGGTAACGGAGGAGTCAGCAGACGGGGAAAACAAAATATGGGATTGAAGTTGCTGGGGAAAGAGGCCGCCAACTGCGACCATGAAGAATAGAATGACGGCTGTGAGAAAGAGAATCGCGACTGAGTTAACGCCGAGTGTTTGGGAAATTTTTAAGATGCTGGCGCGCGAAAGACCCGTGAGGTTCCATGTGCGATTCGGTCGAGCAGCAGGCGAATTAGTCGCCTGACTCTTTTTACGGTCTATTTCAACGCCTCCTGGCAATTCCATGTCTATCTAGTACAAGAAAGCACGTCGGACTCCTAGCGCACGTGGAGAAGGAATATCACAAGTGTGAGACACTACGTCGATAAAACTAAATGGCGATGCTTTGTGGTCCTGCCTCGTTCCATCACCTTGGTTGTGCTGCTTTTTGAGTTCATGGTCGCTTGTTGTAGCAGAGAGGCTGTGTGCGTCCTTGAAGGTATGTCTGATCGCGGTTTAATCTGTTGCATCGCCGTTGAGAGTGGTCGGGTAGGGCTTTCTAGCTTTTGAGTAGCGTGCTGTAGCGAGAACGAAGGGTGACGCTCAACAAACGGCTTGCCTTAGCCTTCCTGGGAATTACCTTCCCGTCAAAATGCCTCAGTTGGTTTGCGAACCGCAATTCAGCGCAGCGTCAGTGTTGAGCTGACCATCGCCCAGGCACCACGCGCTGCGACAGTCCCAATTTCCGTGCTGCTCAGAGCCTGTTATGCGATTGGTCAAATTTGGCGGCGTCACCAATCCCTGCTATTGCACTTCTCTGGCACTTTCGAGCCTTTCATCTTCCTCCAAAATCACCTACTGATCTACACTGGCGTTAGCGTTAAAGCAGTCGAGTTGAGTTCTCTCAAAGCCACTTCGGCTCAAACAGATAACGCTTTCTCCCGAGTACAACAGGCATAGTGTTACGAGTGCAATTGAGTGAAACGAACGAGAATTGCACTATCTAAGCAAGAATACAAATGAGCGAAGGCATGAGCGAACATTATATAGCGAAACTACAGTGGTAACGGTAATGGTCGCGCGACGAGCCTGGGACTGAG